ATAAAGGCTTCTTTGGGGTTTTGCCGGGTTTGGTTTTTGGTTGGGGTTTGGTTGGGTTCGGGTCAGTTTTTTTTTTTTTTTTTTTTTTTTTTTTTTTTTTTTTTTTTTTTTTTTTTTTTTTTTTTTTTTATTTTTATTTATTATTTTTTTTTTATGCAAGATCGGCGGGTTCGCCTCTGACACTGTCATTATCCTTTATCTAATTTTTCGGAAATACGGACTTTTAAAGCTACGATTTTTTGTGATGACACTGATTTGAAATTATGATTAATAATATTATTAACTTATTATTAAATGTTTTATTATTTACTAAAAACTCGAAGGTCCCAGCACTAACGTATGTTTTCTTACACAAGAATTCTCTCATCATTAAACTACCGAATTAAAAATAGTCCAATTCAGCGATCGTGGAGTTTAACCTTTATTTAAATTACCTAAAAATTTACGAGGTCAATTTTATGGATCTGTCACATAATACGTACCAAAATAATGGTAATCTAAAATATGTAATGCCAAGAGAAAACGGGGTTCTTTTTGTATTCTTTAGTACTCTTCCCAATACTATTACGTAATGGTAACAGATCGTAAAAATGGATCTTGTAAATTTATAAGTCAAATTCCACAATGCCGAGTTGCTATTGTACAGTCAATTCTTCATAAGAGTATGTTATTATCTGGAAAAAGTATAGCGATCTACAAAAATTTGATCATGGGCCAAGATTATCTTAACGCCAAAAACAGTTGAATGGTTAGTTTGTTCTCTAACGCCAAGAAAAATAAAAAAACTATCTCGGGGTATTAATAAAAACTTCGGGATATAATTTGTAATAATAGTACCGATACTTGCCCAAATCCTATATTAGACAAACGCCAACACTATTTTAATTATTTAGAATTATACTGTATAACCATACGAGGAAGTGAAAATGAGTCAGTATGATTGGTCTTAAGATAAATTAGAATAGATCGCGGTTATATTAATAGATATTCATACATAGTATAAAAAAATTTTAGTATATATTCTTTGTAAGTTTTATATTACTGTTCTAAATTTTTTTTAATACTGTACATCACACGAAAATCATTTTTAGATATATAGTATTTTTAGCATTTTGGCACATAATTATATAATCCAGAAAAATGAGATACATTAAGGTTTCTTAATAAAAATCGAATATGTGAGCACAAATGATCAAATAAAAATGAACAAAAAAAAGGTGTTCCTATTTCAACATGGCATAAATAAATGTATTCAGAACTAAATTGAAAATAGTTAGTAAATACCGGTAGTTTATTTTATTTTATTTTATTTCAATAAAATGGATTCTTCAACTTTAAAGCTTTCAATACTTCGATTAATACCCACCTACTAGTTCAACTTGATTAGATCATTTTGAAATTAAATAAATAAAGAAATTAGATGTGCTTACAATACATTAAATACTTCAATAGCTTATTTTTACTTTGAATTGATCGTAATTGACTAAGTTGACGCGAATAAAAAAATAAATTAAATTAAATATATAGATAAATGTTGAATAATGTAAATATCAGATCGTCTTGTGATTTCAGATCATGTGCAATACATGATGTTGTTAGTAGAACTTTACAACTATAACAAAGGCGAGTTCATCTTCGAATTTGTCCTCTTCTGAAAGCATTGAGGTATTTTTTGACAATAAAAAGAAGAATACATGCTAGTTCTGATATTCAACCAATATTTTTTAAACAATTTAGAATCAGACAATAAAGTGAATGAAAACATTAAAAACAGTAGCAAATAATCAAAAAGTGTATATAAATTGTTATCACTGCTTTTTTTTTTTGTTGTTGTTAAAGGTGAGGCCTTGCTCATATCTTTATTAATAATTTATATGAGCAGTTACATAGAAGTACTACGTATATACAGTATCAACTTAATTTATACAGATATGAATACATATAAATTACATGCAAGAGTAAGAGCTTAAACTAATTTATCTATAACCTAAACCTACTAGAGTGGTCAAGACTCACCTAGCTTTGCAGTTATCACTGCTTTCTATTAGTTCATTTAAAATAATTGTATTAGACATTTGTTAATTTGCCACCAAATTTTAATGTTGGTTTTTTAAAACTAATTAATTTTTTTGTTTTTTCTTTTCAATAAATTGTCTTGAATATAATCTATATATATATAGTATTAATTAAAAATATTAGGCTTGTTTTTTGTCTTTTTTTATTATTATTGTTAATGCTATATATATATTACAATATTAAAATATTGTAACAAGTTATTTTATATTTTAATAAAGCTTCTATTTTGATATTCAAAAAAAAATAATAATAAGATTATAAAGATAGTTAATTTAAACTTTTAATAAAAGCACCTATGGTGTTTTACACCTATGCATATATTATCTCAAAACTGGCTAATTAATCAATGTAAGATGTTCTAAGTAAAAGTGCTCTACGCCCCTAAAAACCCCTTTCCAAACCTTAATCCGAACCTAAATACTAATGTAAAAATTTTATGTTGAAAATTTTTATAGAAAATCTAAAAAACATAAAACATATGTAATAAAAATATCCCGAGCCGTTGGGTATTAGCGGAAACTTCGTTTCCGCTTGTACACATACGGATCAGGGTATTTTTACTAAATACCCCGTGATCTTGATATAGTGATCGGGTATTTGATAGGTGCAACACCACCATAGGTGTGTTTTATAATAAATGTGATTGATTATAGTATAATATTAGTAAATTTGTTTTTTTCTAGAAAAATTAAATATCAACAGCTGATGCTATATTCGAATATATATATTTTTATATAAAATTTTAAAATTTTTTTGGAATGTATTTTTTCGCTTTTTTCTTAGTTAGGTTAGGGTATAGAGAGTGTATGTGGATTTTAACAGGGCTTATGTTTTTAAATCATGCCCCCAAATTTCATCAGCCGCGATATTAAATAACATTTTGATTTTAGATTAGATTTTTAAACAATTGTATTTATTTAAGCAATTGTTTTTTTTAGAGCAATTGTTTTATTTTATTTTTTTAGAGCGATTGTTTTTTTTAGCAAATTTGATATAAATTACGTCATAGTATTACAAATATGTATCGAAGACTTAAATTCTAATATTATTATATACATATATATATATATATATATACCAATATTATTCAATATATATATATATATATACCAATATTATTCAATATATATAAATATAAATATATATATAGTATATATACAATCAATATTATATCACAAGCTCTGCCTGGAGGTCATTATGAGATTAGATAGTTGATAAATTCAAACCGTCAACAAAGCGACAGAATATATACAATGTACTGTACATGGTTGTACGGTAATTTAATTAAGATAAATTTTTTTTATAACAGTAAATTAGTACATAAATATTCAACATTTATATTTTATTCAATTTCTACTGTGTTTTATAAGCTTGGTTTTCCCGTGATTATTAATTGGTCGACCCCGAGATGCTAGCTAACTTATTTTGGAAACTTTTGATTATACATGCACAATAAAAATTTTCGAGCAATTAATAATTGTACTCGCGAAGCTAATAAAAAAAGGACGTCTGTAACTCTGGAGTTTCTTTACGTAAACGATGGTATTTCAGGCATATCCCAATAAATCTTGTATTCAAATTGATAAGCAAGTTTATGCTATTGATTTAAAAGCCCCAAATGTATAAATAAAAATAAAATAAAATATTAGTATTAGACAAGAAATCAAAATGTAACAGTAATATGAATCAGTAAGTCTCGCTTTAAATACATGAATATATACGCAAGAAAATGCTCGTTCAAACATGTAATTAACAGTTAAGGATAAACTAGATTTGTAATATTACTTTATCCAGAATCGTCCATATACTCTGATTATTGGTGTTTGATGTTACACATGTTTAAATATGCATTTAACAATTACTATTTAAAGTGTACAGAATACGTTGAGTAGTGTATGCGAAAACTTGTGGGGGACCGGGATGTTTCGTATTTATCAATTTGATCTGCTTGTCTAACGTTAACATCTAATGTATAGAAATGTACACTATTTTTAAAGGTAAACAACTAATTTAAACTTTATTTTTAGTTTATAAATTGTGCTGAGTCAATATACAATCTTCCTAAGGAAAGTTAACATGAGGTTTGTAATATTTGAAACATAAGCAAGGATTATGAAACGAGTTTTTTTTCTCTTTGTGGTCGTTTAGATAACGTAAATCATTATTCGCGTAATTGCTTCGTTCATTACATACTTTCTATATAGAACCTTTTAACAACTTAGCATTATAAAAAAAATTTAAAAATGAGAGCTTCGTTTCTAAAAAAGTATCGGCTTTATTCTTTTTTAAGATCCTAATACGTATGAAATAAAAAATTAATAAACATTTGTTTTCGAAGAGTAAATTATTGATTTAAAGATGGAAATATACGATATTACTCTAATAATTCAGTTAACTAAAAAAAATAAAAATTTACTTTTAATATAAATCTAATCAAAAAAAATAAAATTATACATATTAAAAATGCTCTTTGATAAACACGTTAAAAGTTGCAATTACGAAATCCGCTAACTTTTTAACATACTCGAAGAATGCCTAACTTTGAATAGTTTTGTAGTTAGATTTATGAATTTTTGTGATATTTTCATTCCTTATATTACACAATTAGTGAACGTATTTGCATTCGATTATATGTAATAAGCGATTAAATAATATAATATTATTATTTTATACTCGACAGAATTTATACTAATGATCAGTAGAGACTATATTCATCAGAAGAAATTGTTGGATTCTGAAACTGATGCTATGAGCATTTCAAGTATTAGTTATGATAATAATAAAATGAAACCATCTATATCGATTGAAACTCATTTTGTTCTTGATTGTTCTCATCCAACTACTGTTGATCTTCCTTCAACTACAAGCGAATCCATTGTTGTCAATACTGATTCGCCTAATTCATATCCATATCAAACCACATCTCTATCGTTCCGAACATTTCATCTGCTCTTTCCAACGCCAACCAATATTTTTTCGGAGTCTCCATGTCCAACTCTAAAACCCTCGACGGTTATCCCAATCCCATCACTAACAATCACAGATCAAATCATCACACCACATCACCACCTAAATCGCTCAACCAGAACAAAGGATTACTCAGATTCAAGTCCGTTCGACTATGGTTCACCTTATCATATTCCTGCAATACTAGGAACTACGATGGCAATATTCATGGCTTTGATTTTAATTATTATTATTATTAAAAAAGCCATTTTTATTAATCTTGAAAAGGACACGAGATATGAGAAACGAGAACATAATAGATTCGATCGTAAGTCTTTTGTTGTGCTTGATGATAACGTTGAGTGTGATAATGGAAATAAAATATTAATTAATATTGACGTCCCTGAGAAAAACGATCAAACTATGATCACGGAAGACTGTGCTTATGGTGATATGTATAATAATTATTTACATGTAAAGGTTAATGTAAAGTGATTATGAATATGTCATAAGTTACGGATATTGTTTGTATAGTGTTTGAATGGCATTGTTGTAACGTACTGGTTATGAATCATCATGTCGTTCAGTTAGAACAATAATTTCTTGCCGAATTGAAATTAAATTTCATGACTTGTCCTTTTGTGTCTAAATTTGTTCATAACAAACACCCTGGTACCTATGATAATATAGCAAAAAATGTTACCGCTGCAGATCTTTTAAAGCTTTCATCAGTCATACATACTGTATATATGGGTGTTCAAATTTCTCTTCTTAATAAATAATTGTATATTTTGGTAATTAATCTAATCGAAATTAGTTTTCCCAAGTAACTCACTCCTCAATGTAATTTACTAGTGATGTTGCAATTAATTGAAATGATCCATATAACGAATTTGTCGCAAATTCATAACATTAGTTTGGTTCACCTGATTGTGACTTAAACATACTATGTATTTCTGTATAATGCCAAGCTATTCACAAAACGAAGCTATTATGCACATATGTTTAGGCCATTGAATTGACTTAAGTTAATAGCATTTCTTCATATGTATTTATAAACAATTCAAAAGGCCGAAAAAACCATGTAATTGATCGATTACATGAAAATTACCCTATAGATGCAACAATTACTGGTAGATTTTTCTAAAAATGGATTTAAAACCACGCGTAGTAATCAAGTTAGTGTTGACTGATCAGTATCACTGGTCGAAATCAAATATATTATTCTAATATCTTCTTATAATCGACATAGGCTGATAGGCTGTTGACAATAAACAGATTTGATAAGGTATAAAACAAGCTGATAAGATAAAGATTTTAGAAAAATATGATGCATATTAGTTTAATGCCAGAAAAATATTCATAAATTGGTATAAAGATTAATAAAATTATTTAAAAAATAAAAGGTTGATACTATTTAGATATTATAAAGATAATTTAATGATTATATAAATCATAAACCAATATTGTGTTGACTATTTAATAAAAATTTTGATAATACAATACAGATATTTTAATTAAAGCTATTATATAAGTAGATTAATTAGTAACTAGGCTGATATATTAAATATATTAGTTGTTATTTTTTTTTTTATTTCTTTGATGAGCCTTGCCATGGCTTAAACCCTTAATTCGTAGTATATAAATTTATATACATTGATTTCTAAGATTAATATCCCAATTTCACTTGGTTGTCTGTATAGGTATCTAAGTACAACCTATTATACTAGTTTACTGATAAACTAGATTATCTAAATAGACTTTCTATAAAATAGAAAACAAGCTATAACTAGAAAAGAGAAAATATTAAATAGAGAAAAGAGAAAAGAGAAAAGAAGTGACTTACACAGGTCGAAAGATGGCAAACCAGGCACAAATCAGGTACCTGATTTGTGCCTGGTTTGCTATCTTTCGACCTGTGTTATAAAAATAAAAAGTAATAAAAAAAATAATAAATTAAAAAAAAATAATATATATATATTTTTTTATAAAAAGAAAATATAAATTTAAAAAAATTTTATCTTTTTTTATACAAATATACTATTATAACTTGTGCCAGATTGATAAAAATTATATAACAATTGCAATATATTATATATCTCTGTTGTAAAGCTTTGTCTTAATATATGAATTTTTTTTCAACTATATAGCTGTTTTTAATTATCTTAATAAACTAAAACCTTTTTAGACCTGGAATCTTGTTAGACTAGAAACCTTCTTACATAAAGTAGTATTATATTTGCTAATAAACAAAACACATAATTGTATTTTACTAGAGTATTCAAATTTAAAAAGAGTAACAATATTAATTTTTTGAAAAAAATAAGCCAAAATGCTTATTTTTTTATAAAATTTTGAAAGATCAGTAGAGTATAAGAAAGAAAAAAGAAATACCAACTTGAATAATATATAAAAGTTTATATTATATAGAATAATGTTATAATAATAATTATAGTTAGTGCTCCTACAGACCAGACTTGAACCAGACTTTAGTCAAGTCTGAGTCTGGTCTAATTTTTGAACCAGACTCAAACTTTTATATTTAAACTTTTTAGTCAAGTCCGAGTTTGGTTCGGTCTGGTCCAAAGTCTACAGACTGGTCCGAGTTCGAATATTTTTATATGTAATTTTTGGTTCTGAACAAGATTACTTAATATATGAAGTTAGAATTAATTAGTAAAATTTTGTAAATCATAGAATTTTATTAATAAAATTTTATAAAATCTTATAATTTACAAATTTTTATTAATTAATTCCAACTTTATGTATTAAAAAAACTTGTTCAGTGCCTAGAAATATATTAAAATAGCAGAATTATTTTTATTTTACTTAAAATTTAGAGAATAGATGCATAATTTTGAAATTTTGATCAAAAAAGTCAAATTTAAGCATCGTTTCTTCAAATTTTAAGTAAAATAAAACAAATTTACTAATTTAATGTATTTTTAGGTGCTGAACAAGATTACTATGTACATAAAATTAGAATTAATTAGTAAAATATTGCAAATATTAAGATTTTATAGAATTTTATTAATAAAATTTTATAAAATTTTATAATTCACGAATTTCTTTTAAATTATTCTAACTTTATATACAAGTAAACTTGTTCAGCGTCTAGAAATATATCAAAATGGTTAGATTATTTTTATTTTATTTGAGATTTAGAGAATAGATGTATGATTTTAAAATTTTAATTAAAAAAGTCAAATTTAAGCATTGTTTCTCCAAATTTCAAGTAAAATAAATAAAAATAATTCTGTTGTTTTAATATATTTTTAGGTGCTGAACAAGTTTACTTAGTACATTAAGTTGGAATTAATTAATAGAAATTCATGAATTATAAGATTTTATAAAATTTTATATATTAATAAAATTCTATAAAATCTTATGATTTGCAATATTTTACTAATTAATTCCAATTTCATATACTAAGTAATCTTGTTTAGCACCTAAAATACATTAAATCAGTAAAATTTTTTTTATATTTCTTGAAATTTAAAGTAATGATGCTTAAATTTGACTTTTTTAATTGAAATTCTAAAATTATATATCTTTTTTTTTTTTTTTTTTTCGGTGTTAAGGTGACCCCTTGGCCGGGGACTTTTTATTAGATAATTAACAACGTTACAATTATGATGAGGGTACAACTAGCCACACGTACAACTTTTGGTTGTCTATTTTAAGTGGTCCGCCTGAGTTCTACACTAGCCGCCATGCCTGCAATCTAAAATTATATATCTATTCTCTAAATCTTAAATAAAATAAAAATAACTTTACTGTTTTGTTGTATTACAAGGTGCTGAACAAGTTTACTTAGTATATAAAGTTATAATTATATAAAAAAAATTTATGAATTATAAGATTTTATAAAATTTCAATAATAAAATTCTATAAAATCTTATGATTTGTAATATTTTACCAATTAATTCTAACTTCATATACTAAGTAACTTGTTTAGCACTTAAAAATATATATAAATATATATAAATATATTTGAACTCAAACTAGTCTGCAGACTTTAGACCAAACCTGGACCAAACTTATAATTAAATTTAAATCTAGTTTGAAGTTTAAAATTTGCAAAATTTAGAGTCTGAGTCTGGTCTGATTTCAGATTAAACTCAGACTAAACTAGACTCGAACCAGATCTAGAAGCACTAGTTTTAAATAAACTCTACAAGGATATAGTGATTAAATAAGTTTAAAAAAAATCCAATTACAAGTGAGAGCCTTAACAATTACAATACTAGGTTAGCCAAAATGAGATATAAAAAGCTCTGATAGGTTTATCTTGAGAATAGACTAACTTAGAGTTAGTAAATCTTAAGATACAAACAAAATTTAAATAATCAAGTTAAAAGACTTTATTTGGTAAAATTAGATTATGATTAGAGGGTTTAAATAAATAATTCCTGTAAAATCTAGAATAGACTACTTAAATAGATAATTAAAAGTTGTACATATAGCTAGTTATATTCTTATTTGTAAAAACCAAAAAACTTAAATAGGTAATCTTCTAGTTAAATTGTAGGTATAGTGCTAGTATAAAATCCAGGTGAACTATTTAAAATAGATAACCAAAAGTTGTATGTGTGGCTAGTTATACCTTTATTGTAATTGAAACTTAACTTCCAATAAAAAGTTATAGCCAAAAAGGTTATCTTTAATATTAAAAAAAATAAAAAAAAACTTTTTTCTCTTTTTTTTTCTTTTCTTTATATTCTTTCCCCTTATACCCTTTCTATATGTTTTTTTTAGTTTTTTTTTTGTTATAGATGGATTATAGTTTAGTTTTTCTGCCAAGATCTAGGTAGAAAAAATTGAAAGAAAAGAAGTGGTTATGACAGGCTGGTAAACCCCAGCCAGTGAATTGTGGATTTTTAATCTGAGGTAGATTAAAGAGAAGCAAGAAGGCTGATTTTACTCTGGCAGATCGCACATAGGTGCTTTTTAGTAACCAGGTGAACCACACTTTAATATAAAATAGCTAAGCTATGGATAGAAAACATGGGGATAAAACCTGTATATATTCTATTTTAAATAATAAAGTTGTGACATGACTACTTGGGAAGAAAAAAAAAAAAAAAAAAAAAAAAAAAAAAAAAAACAAAATTAGTTAATAAGAGATAAAATTTCACTATAGCAGGTTGCATATAGGTATTCTCTGAACAATCGGGTGAATCAATATTTGTAAGTTAGGTGTCAAGCAGAATAGCAATATATTAAAATTTATATAGCCTAATAAAGTATTGGCAAAACTGCTAAAAAAAATATATATATATATATATATACTGTATACAGTCAACTCTCTTTATAATGAACCTCTCTATACCGAATTCTGGATATAATGAATTAAAAG